TAAAATGGCTTGTTACTGGGTATTAAAATGTATTTTTTTTATAAAGCCATTCATAATCTTCAACATTTAGAGAGCAACATACTTGATCTTTGCTTTGCTTTTTTTCTTTCTGTGGGTCAGTGTTAGTGTGAAATATCAAAAAAGTGTTTGGTGCTACTAACGCTGTCACATGATTTTAAAAATAGTCACAATTAATCATAGATTTAATAGCATAATTAAGCAATAATTTTAAAATGTAATGATTTCAGTTACAACACAGAATACAAAATGTATAATGCTCACTTGATGTTTTTATTATAAACATTTGCACTAAAAAAAGAAATAGCATTTTTTCAGTTCACCGCATACAAGTACCGTAGTACAGTCTCTTTATCATGAAAGTACAATTCACAAATGCAGAACTTTTGCTAGTCAAAAACAAAAAATAAAATTTCAAAGCCTAAAAGGCAAAACATGAAGAAGCATGCAAATGTTGTTATATCTGGCGCATACTTTGGCTGTAACAGTGCCATGAAAGGCCTGTTCTAACTTTCAGTGACATTGTAAGTAAGAAGTGGGAAGCATTATCGCCTGTAAACAAAACATGTTTGTCGTAGCAGTTGGCTGAACAAGTAGTAGGACTGAGTGGTCTAGTATGAGGTGAATCAAAAAATACTGTTTGTTTTGTTCATTTTTTCTACAGTGCAAATATTTGTAATAAAAATAATATTAAAATTAGTACTGGACTTAGTATTCTTTGTTGTAACTGAATCAGTAGATCTGAAATGTAGAAAATTATTCAAATATAATTATAAATTTAAATGTGTATCATGTCACACTGGCAGTTTTTGTGGGTTTGCAACCTTAGTTTTGTAATGTTATTAACAAAAGGTTTTCCTCCTTGTTACTGTGTGAAAGACAAGTCTTAGAAGGGTAGCTGTGTTAGACTATCTGCAAAACAAGGAGTCTTGTGGTGCCTTAGAAACTAAGGGTATGTCTACATTACAGCGCTAATTTGAACTAACTTATTTCAAATTAGTTAATTCGAAATAAGCTAATGTAGACCCAAAAACTAATTTGAATTAGCGTTTTGCTAATTCAAAATAGCATGTCCACACTGATTGGATGCTGGGTCGCATTTAAGGGCAGGTGAAACTGGTTCCGGCAGGGCATGAGGTCAGTAGTTGCTTTGTGAAGCTGAGGCTTGTGCTAAAGGGACCCCCCTGGACAGCCGGTTCTCAGCTTTTTCGCTTGCTTGCCTACCTCGCTGAGGGACAGCAAAGTGTTTTCCTCTCTGCCTGCCTGTGTCAGTGGCTCCCACTGGGGACACTACTGTAGTTGGCACCATGGAGCCAGAGTTCGCCCTGGGCATGCTGCTCCAGTCTTTGGACTTGCTGCTGCAAGCCTGCCAGCAATGGCTGGAGGCTGCCTGGCACCATCTGGTGCACGGCAGCCCCCTGCTCCTCCACCTGACCTCCCTGCGTCTGGACACCTGCAGCGACTGGTGGGACCGCATCGTCCTGGAGCGCTGGGGAGACCAACAGTGGACCCAGAACTTCAGGATGAAGAAGGACACCTTCCTGGAGCTCTGCGAGTGGTTCGCCCCTGCTCTGCGGCGACGGGACACTTGCATGAGGCCCCCCATCCCCCTCCAGAAGCGTGTGGCCATCGCCTTGTGGAAGCTATCCACGCTGGACAGCTACCAATCTGTCGGGAACCAGATTGGCGTAGGGAGATCCACCATTGGAGCAGTGCTCATGCAGGTACGGCACCCACTGGCCACTGGGTCCCAAGTTTGGTTCTTCCTATTGGTGTTACACAAGCATGTGGGGACAAAATCAGAAAGACTAAGGAACATAGGGACACTGTTTGGGGGGGGGAGAAGAGGCGAAAGTGCCCCGCATGGGAGGGTTCGGTCTGTCCCGGCTGTACTACACGCCGCCTGTGGTGGCCAGGATTGCAGCGAGGGTTGCTTCTGGGAGTGGAGCACGGGGCAGTGCCAGGGAACAAATTCTCCCACGCACCCCTGGGATTCGCGGTTTGGTGTGTCTCTCTGCAGGTGGTCAAGGCTATCAACAGGGTGCTGCTCCGCAGGGTGGTCTGCCTCTCCGAGCCAGACGCAGTCATCCAGGGGTTTGGTGCCCTCAGCTTCCCCAACTGCGGGGGGGCCATCGACGGGGACGCACATCCCCATCCGTGCCCTGGAATACCTGGCCTCCCTCTACATTAACCACAAGAGTTACTTCTCTGTGCTCCTGCAGGCCGTGTCTGACCACTGGGGCCAGTTCACAGACATTAATGTGGGCTGGTCCAGCAAGGCACATGACGCCAGGGTGTTCCGGAACTCCTCTGTGTGCCAGAGGCTGCACACCGGGACCTTCTTTCCCGACCGCCACATCAGGGTCAGGGACATGGACATGCCCATCTGCCTGGTGGGGGATACGGCCTACCCCCTACAGCCCTGCCTGATGAAGCCGTACATGGGGCACCTCAACCCCTCCCGGCAGGCCTTCAATGCCAAGCTCACCAGGGGCCTGAAAGCCCGACTTAGATGCCTCCTTCCCCGCCTCGACCTTGCCGAGCACAATATCCCTCCTGCGGTGGCAGTATGTTGCATGCTGCACAATGTATTTGATAGGAAAGGGGAAGCTTTCCTACCAGCCTGGATGGCTGAGGCTGACTACATGGCTGGCCAGTACATGCAGCCCTGCACTGCTGCCGTCCAGGAGGCCAAGTGGGGGCCGTCCAGATCCGGGAAGCCCTGCGGCAGACCTTCCAGGTGGAGGAGGACTGAACTCTCCCTGCATGCCCCACTGGGGCCTTCTTGCACCCTTACCCTTCCCCCTCCCTAACCCCCCTTCCTAATGAAAATAAAAATACCTGTTTTGCCAAAAAAACCCTCTCTTTATTGTACATAACTGGCGTGGAGGGAGGGAGGAATAAAGGTGGAAGAGGGGAGGGGGGAACGTGAGAGGAGGGAGCTGGAAGGGGGAGGAAGGGAAGAGAAAGCTCAGGGTTGGGGGCTCTGCTTGCTCTCCCGTCTCGCAGCACTGCAGGTGCAGGAGTGTCGGGGGGAGTGGGTGTGGAGGGTGGGGCAGGAGGGACGGGGGTGCGGAGGAAGTGGGAGAGAGAGCAGGGGTGGGAGGAGCGGAGGGCACGGCCCTGCTCCTCCAGCACCTCCAAGCTCCGCTGCCGCAGCCGCAGGTCCTCCCGAACCCAGTGGTCCTGGGCGCAGAGCTGGTGCTCTAGTAGCTGCAGGTGCCACCGCTGACAGTCCTACAGGTTCAGGTGTGCCTGCTGGCCCGGGTGCAGGTGGCTCTTGCAGGTGGGGTGGTGCGCCCTGCAGTCTCAGGTGCTGCGGCTGTGGTGAAACAAGAGCAGTGGTCAGTTCTCCCTGGGGACACAGTGGGTGAAACCCAGCCCCCTTCTGCAGGGTGAGGTCAGCATGTGGGGAACGAGGCAGGGCCCCTGCATGACACCCAGCTGCTGCCCCATGGTGGGCAAGGCCCAAGCGCACGGTCCCTGGGCTCCCTCTCCACCCCCTCCCCCCCCCCGCATACACATAAGGGGAGCATGATGGCACTCACATGTGGAGCCCTCCCCGGCCTTGGACCCCCCAGCCGATGTGCTCTGTGGGATGCCTTGGGGGTCCTGGGTCCTGGGCAGGTTCCCTGCAGGCTCCTGGCATCCTCCTCCGTGTCTGGGTCGGGACCCTCTACCCCGGGGTTGATCATCACCTGGGAGGCATGGATGGCATGAGCCCCCAGGATGCGGTCCGGGGCCTTGTAATGAAGGCATGCCTCCGGGTCGGGCCCTGGCTGGGAGGCCCTGGAGTAGGCTTGCCGCAGGTCTTTAATCTTGCAGTGGACCTGCTCCTGGATCCGCATGTGGCCTCTGGTGGCCAGGCTGGCAGCCATGAGGCTGTAGACGGCTACATTCCTGTACCTAGTTAATTTGAACTAATGTCTGTTAGTTTTTGTAGGTAAAACCCACTTCATCAGATAAATTGAAGTGAAAATTACAGAGGCAAGGATAAATATATCTGTATCTATATCTATGTATATACTAGTAGAACAAAAGAAGGGAGTTACTTATCCAGTGTAGGACCAGTGTTAATGAGGCCAATTCAATAAGGGTGGATGTGGCTCACTTGTGAATAGAGGGGAAATTGCCTTGGTAGTCAGATTACCAGTCTAATCCTTCAGTCCTAATTTGATTGTATTAAATTTGCAAATGAATTGCAGTTCTGCTGTTTCTCTTTGTAATCTGTTTTTGGAAAGGGTTTTTTTGTGTAGCCATCCTTGTCTCTAAAATGCCACAGGACTCAGTTGTTTTTGTATGAAAGACAATTAGGGGCACTGACTATACTGAACGCTTTGTCAAATGAACAAAGTAGAAGCAATAGGGGGTTTTTCCAATTATTTATTTATAGTAATGTTAAGTTTTCCTTACAACAATGGTAGGTCCAAGACATTCAGGAGAGGAGGTGTTTTATGTATGGTTAAAAAAAAAAAAAAGTAAAAGTGTGACACTTTCTCTCTTAAAGACATTTTAGGGTACATCTAGATTGCATTGCTATTTCGGTATCCCGAAATATTCCAAAATAGCAACACTCTAAGGAACACATCCGCTATTTCAATTTTTTTTCAAAATATCGGACGCGCTTTTTCGCCATCCCTGTAAACCTCGTTCTACAAGGAATAAGGGATGGCTTGAAATAGCACTTTATTTCGAAATTTGACACCATGTACACGCACCAAATTTCAAAATAGCCTCTTTTTGAAAATAAATTGAAAAAAGGTACGCAATTTACATAGCACAAATTGCATATCTTTTTTCGATTTTAGAGTTCAGTCTAGACGTAGCCTTAGTTGGTAAACTGAGAGCTATATTTGAGAAGCAGAATCAACTGTAGTTACTTCTCTCAAATTCAACCGTTGCAGTATCATTTTTCCCCTCGGCTTCTGTGTGACTCCAGTTTGATTACAAAAGATTTTGTAATGCTATGGTTATTTTTGTAGGAAAAAAGCTCAGTTAAAGAAGAGACGAGGTGTCGCTGTCATTAATGAACACATGTTATTTCATGGCACCAGCAATGAATTTGTAGAAGCAATATGCATTCATAATTTTGACTGGCGAATAAATGGTATACATGCTGCTGTGTATGGAAAAGGTAAGAGGTAATGATTACTGCTTGACTATCACTAAGTACTTGAGTAACATATTTCTTTTGCTCTTCTCTCTAAATAAATCAGAATGCGTCTCTCAAATGAATTTAGGTTTGTAAGACATTGCTGATGGTCTGTGGAGAACTGTTTAATCTGGCTGTTCCTGCTAAATGTGATTTTAAAAAGACAGTTACAATATACAGTATGATATAAACTATTTCTGTAATTGTCACAGTTGGATGTTATGCAGTGCTATGGGAGAAGATAGTCCCATGACCTGTAGATAAATCATTCATGGAGTAATTTCCCTACTAAGATGTGGTTCACACTGAAAAACCTTCAGAATCACTGAACTAGTATAATTCTTACAAGTGCTGTTGATTGATTATGAATATAAAACTGAAGTGTATGGCCTGATTCAGATCTTACACCATTTTGATGTATTATGGAATCAGAATTAGACCCCCCAGATTTCACAGAGAGACTTGTCATTGGGTATAATTTTTGCTGTTTGTTCTTTCAGGGACCTATTTTGCAAGAGATGCATCATACTCCAGTCGTTTCTGCAAAGATGATATGAAGCACGGAGACACTTTTCAAATCCATGGTGTCAGTCTACAACACCATGTGTTCAGAACGTATAAAGTTATGTTTCTTGCTCGTGTTTTAACTGGAGACTATGTCATTGGAGATTCCAAATATATGAGACCTCCTTCAAAAGATGGAAGCTTTGTGAACTTATTTGACAGCTGCGTGGATAGTACATGGAATCCAAAGATCTTTGTTATCTTTGATACCAACCAAATCTACCCTGAATATTTAATAGAATTCTGTTAAGTTTTGCCAGGAGACAAACTGAGCATTAGGTTGGTTGTGATGGATGGTCAGTATCTTTTTGCAAAGGAAATATAACTTAAAAAATGTGTAAATACACAGTGGTGAGAACAGGCATGGAGATGTGAAGGAAAATCTGGCTTACATCTGTAAAATCCTTTTGGCGTAAGGTTGGTTGTCCATTTGTTGGTCCTGTAAATAAAACATTGATGCTTTTCACATGTAGGGTTTATAAGAAATTTTAATATGGCTTAGTTAAGCCTTAACTTACGTGGACATTTAATGTCTTCAAAGGATTCTTACTGCTATACTTTTTTAAAAACTACGCGTGTATTTAATCTATGTCTAGAAATATATTTATGCATATGATACAGTTTGTGTACATGTGAATAATCTTTTATAAAGATTTTATTTATAATTTTACAAAATGCAGGGGGCTTAATGGTTATTGGCATGCCGCAGTATGCATTACGTGTAGAGCGGAGTTTAAATCTACCAAACAATACATTTAGAAAAAGCAAAGATGTGGAATCAGTCTGAACCATCTGCTGGGACTAAATCTAGATACCTGTATCTCATACTGCTTCAAGCAACCTGCAATAATGTTGCGCAACCTATAAGTGAAGTCTGGTTGTGACAGAATGAGATATCTAACAGCAGTTGCAGTCAGTAATTAGGTAGGTATTTAACCTTAGAGTCACGTTCTAGGATCTCTTGTGTGATCTATAGATTTGTTTAATAGTAAACTGTGTTTTGCATCCCTCCCCTTTTTGTACAAAACTCATATATAGCTGTCTTCTGTTTGTATGCTGCTATCTTTTTAAACTTTGGCTGCAATTTTAAGATGCACACAGTGTTCATCTGACTTTGCTTCCATTGAAGCCAAAGAAAGTTCATTGATTCAATGGAAACTAAAATTAAACCAGAATGGAGGGCTTCTAAAAATTCCATCTCTTAATAGTTCCCTGTGTTTCATGAAAGATTTCATTAATATTTATTTGTGTTGGTTTTATGTGAAGCAAGTTTTCTTTTCGTTTGCATAGATGCAGAGCATGAGCTGGTTTTGTCAGGTAAAATCTGATTGGGGAAAGAGAAGAGGGACCAGAAGTGGCTACAAGAAGAAAGATCAGAGAGATCCAAGTTCCTGAAGAATGCGGACTGAGTACTGCTTTTGAGGTGTTAAATGAGAAAAACTACTTACATTGGCTCTCCCTAATGAGACTTCCTCTCTGGATCCCTGCTGTTGGATACTTGCCCTGTTACACAGACCTTCGATATACTAAACATTGTATTTGCTCCCTCCAGTGCTAAACATGCACAGCCTGGCACTATGATACAGCTAATAGTGACATGTATTCCCTCCTTCCTGTGTTTTTTATCTATGCCTGTTCATGAAGTCTGTCAGTTCTTTGTGTTCTTTTTAGTTTCTTAAAAACTTTTTCCTGACTTATCATCTTCAGCTGTCCAGGGAATTGTTTCCTTTTGTGCATGTACAGTGCCTAGCACAATGGCCCTCCTGAGTATGAGCTCTGGGTGTTACTACAAAAACAACATATGATTGATCTAGAACAGCAGAACTTCACTAATCCACAGGCTTTGTAATACACATGTGGAGGGGCACACATAAATGCTGCATCTACACTATGAGCTACAGGTGTTAGTCCCTGCTCATATACATGTACTTGAGTGAGCAGGAATATAATGGTATAGCTGTGGTAGCAAGCCTTGCAACAGTAGAGGAACAACTAAGCCAGGCCACTGTGAGAGCAAGTACACAAGAGGAGGGAATAGCTCATAGTTATCCCTCCCAACTTATCAGAGATTTGCTGGCAAATACTGTATGGTGTCCTCATATTAAGTCCTCTTTATTTTTACAAAATATTCTACAATACATGTATTTGGATATGGTGAAACTATAACAAGTCAAAATTTTAAGAAGTTGTTCCCTTTTGTTTGTGCACTCACTAGTTTTAGTAGGGCCTTTTTGGCTAGAAGTAACCAACACATTGGGTTTTAAAAGGTGTTTGGTTGCCATACGTACAATATCTGCAGGAAATCAACATGATTTGTGATTACCCTGCTTTGGCTAATTTATACCTGTATTATTTGTCCACTTTTTATATGTGTGTGTTTGGGGCGGGAGAGGGGAAGGGAAGAGAGGAAGCCTTAATCTCACCAGTCCAGAGTGCAATTGAAAGAATTTTCAGCCAGTGTTCATTCTATCAGTTTTTTTGTGGAGAATCATCTTCATCTGCATTGCTAACTCCTGATAGCTGTTTCACCAGGTAGGCAGCTAGAATGCAATGCATCAGGCTCTAGCAATGCTGATTGGTAGTTCTTAGTTGTAAATCACAAGAAGGAAGTCCATGACTGCAAGAAGGAAGTCTGTCATTTGACTGAAATAATCATCACCCCTGAGAGATTCTATTTTGTGTGTTTTCATACAGAGTGTCCTCCAGATCCTTACCATGTCCAGTTCTAGCTATCATTTTTCAGAGGTGACAGCTAGAGATTTATACTGTCTCCCCTCTGGAAGGGCCTTCTGGTACCTAGATTTTCCTTAGCAAACACTATGGCATTGAGGCAGTTGGTGCAGCATGTCCCATGTACTGGTTCTCACTGGGCTGCCTTTGGGGCTATTTGATGTTGAGAAAACATTCACCCTGTCCATTTGTCAGACTTCCTGCTCAGCTTCTGACTCTCTTGCATTCTTCCATTTTTTTTTATCAAGCACAGACTGCTTTATTGTGAGAAGGGTGCTAATCTTGGCAGTAACTAAACAACTGGTAAATTTTCGAGGAATTATCTACCTTTGATCATCCACTAGGATGAATCTCAGGAAGCACTGAGTCCCCAGTAGAATTTTGAGAATAATTAGACAAAAAGAGAACATTGGGTATGTTTGATGTCTAGGTTGATACTATTAATTAACTTGTGAGACTGACTTTTTAAAAGCTCTGTTATGCAATATGGCTACCATACATTTTTACAAATGCAAAAAAAAAAGTGCATTAATATATAGCTCTTTGAAGGTCTAAAGTTGCTATATGCCTGTCAACATAATTCCTTTCTTTCTTTAAGCAGGGGCTCCAGATTGAGTTTTGGCGCAGAAGAAAGTTTAGTGAAAGAAATGTGACCCAAAGCAACAAGTACAGGGAAAAGACGGAGGGGAAGACTAACTGAAGAAACAAAGCTTGGAATGGGTGATGTGACAGTAAACTAAAGATGGGGGGGGGGAGAGTATAAAGGAAAAGTGTGACAAAGCCCTCCTTTTAACTTCTCCCAAACCCATCTCTTTGCAGGCTTTCTGAATGCTCCACTCCTACCTAATATGCTTTGGTGGAGACGGAGCACTGCACTGGGAGCCAGGAAGCTTAATGTGGGTCTCACCATATATATCAGGTAAAGAGCTCAGAGTAGGTTAAAGACTCTGATCTGACCAGGAGAGAAATCCCCCATGGCAGGAGCTGGAAGGCTATAATAGATCCCCTTTCAAGAGATTTATTAGGGGCAGAGCCAAAAAATGTGTAGCTGCCATAATTTAAACCTCCTGCCCCCAACCTGGGCTGTCTGGATTACACTGGGTGCCTGTTGAGTCCTCTGCAGCTGCCAAAATTGGGAACATTGAAATCCATCATCTCCACTCACCCTGTGCTGTGAGTTCTGTACTGAGCAACATGCCTATGGCAACATTAAGTACCCATTTTGATCATTCTCAGAGGGGGAGCTGTGTTAGTCTGTAGCTGCAAAAACAATGAGGAGTCCCATGGCACCTGAAAGATTAACAGATTTATTTGGGCATAAGCTTTCCTGGGCAAAAAACCGCTTTTGACAAAGAGGATTTTTGCCCACAAAAAACTTATGCTTAAATAAATTTGTTATTCTGTAAGTTTTCATGGGACTCCTCCTTATTAATACCCATTTTATCACTGTGTCATAATTGACAATCCTTGCTGCTGAGAAGTAAAAACAATTCTGTTTTATATTAGGGAAGTCAGAACGATTGTGATGACATTCTAAATGTTTCTGCTTTTGGAAGGGCCAGTTCTACTTACCCGTGAATGACACTGCTTGGAGAAAGTATTATTATTAAATTAAATAATTAGCTTGTGGTGGTGTACAGTTTAGTGGGCAAGGTCGGTCCCTAAGCACTTATGTCATAAATATGATTAATAACAGACCAATATAATAAACTTCCTCTGGCTGTTTGAAAAAGTTCCTACCAAACAAAATTGTAAGATTATCAGTTTCCCTCTGACCCATGAGCCCTTTAACAAATACACTGCATTGTAGCGAAAGTGAAATATTGTATAGAAACTCTAATTTATAAGTCCCATACCACTTTAGAAACAACCTCACTAAAGTCCTATGACATAGGCAAATAGTAGAGTGACCCTTCCACTCTCCCTGCAATGCCACCATTTTTTTAAATGGAATACAGCGCCTATACAATCCAGCAGAGTAGTACTTTACAGCAGACTCACTGGATGTAGGCAAAAATACTGTTTTCAGTACAAATTTCTGGGGTGGTTAGATAGATTATATAAAAATTAATTTTTACGATACACCTCTTTTCTTAAGATCTTTAATTACAATATGTTGGCAAGACCTCGGGTTTATATCTTATCAAAAGGACAGCACCTCTAGCAGTATATAGCAGTGTTTAGTCTAGTGTGTCGAGGAGAACAACAGAGGGTCTTTGGTGTTCCTCATAAAAAAAAAAATTGGTGTTTCTTGGTCTTAAAAAATTTAAGAAACACTGGTATATAGTGTGCTAAAATGAAGTCAGGGTTAGTACAGGCTTTAAGGGAAGAGTACCACTTATTGAATGACTGATACTGCTAGATTTTCATAGAATCTGTTCTATCCATATAATGATCCAGTTTACTTGGAAAAATCTGAAGGAGTATAGTTGCAAGGTGAGACATGAATAAAAAAATGTAGATAAACTCAGCACCTGATGGAAGTCTGAGTCTGAATGGGCCCTGAGAGAAGGGGAACAGAGCAGCATGAAAGTAACAAACTAGGTGACATTTGAAGAGGGAATATTCTGCTTTTTTCCCCCCAGTATTATGAGGGGGTATAAATTAACCATCTGATCTACTGTGGCTTATGTAATTTTACTTTGAAAAACTTAAGTGGGAACAAGCTGTTTTTGAGCACCAGAAGCATAAATGCACTTTGAGGAAGTTTAAAACAAACAAAACTAGCAGGTTTTAAAACAAACGGAAGTTTTTCTTCACAGTGCACGGTCAACCTGTGGAACTCCTTGCCAGAGGAGGTTGTGAAGACCAGGACTTTTAACAGGGTTTAAAAAAAGAACTAGATAAACCCATGGAGATTAGGCCCATCAATGGCTATTAGCCAGGATGGATAGGAATGGTGTCCCTAGTCTGTCAGAGACTGGGAATGGGTGACAGAAGAGGGATTCCTTGAAGATACCCTGTTCTGTTCACTCCCTCTGAGGCGTCTGGCATTGGTCACTGTCAGTAGACAGGATACTGGGCTAAATGGATCTTTTGTCTAACCCAGTATGGCTGTTCTTATGTAGGAACAGCTCTGGGGCATTGAGCAAAGATGCTGGGAAACAAAAGGCCATATCATCAGGAGGGCCAAGTCTTGATTTTTAAGTGTTGGTTTACATAAAATTACACAATATGTTATTCCATGTTCTTTAAGTTACTGAAAAGAAGTGCCAGTTTATTCAGTAACCCTAATTAACTGCACAATATTGTGCCAGTTTTAACTAATTACAGATAAAGTGCTTGGATTTTTTTAAAAACACTTTCTAATCCAAATCAGTGTATTAAATCTTTGTGGTTATTTTTTGTATATTAAAGACTGATTGGATTATACGAGTGCTTCTAGTATTATTTAATACAGGGGTCGGCAACCCCCAGCGCGTGTTCCACAAGTGGCACATGAGCCAGTTTTCACTGTGGCGCTCGTGCTGTGGCTCCAGCCTCTGCTGCGCAGCTGCAGTAACAGCTCCGGCTTCCTGCTGGGGTAGGAGAGACACGTGTGTCCCTGGTGCTGCCCCTGCTTGGCCTGGGTGTGCAGCTCCCGGGAGCTAAGGGGTTCACCCCTTCTCCCAGCTACAGGCTCTGCTTCGGGAGGGGGCGGGGCTGGGCCTGGGCCTACTCTGCAGAGCTGGGGCTGGACAGCCTGCACACGTGGCACGGTGAGACCCAGGCTGCGCCATACTGCTCCCTGTGGGCTGTGTTCAGGGAGCCCCTTCCCCAGCACTCCGTTGCTCCTGGATGGGCTGGAGCCAGCTGGGGCTGGGCAGCCCTGTGCTCTGCCTGCCCTAGCAACATAGCCTCAGCCTGCAGGCAAATGGCTGGGCGGGGTCAGGTAGGGAAAACACTCTGCACCCCTGCTCCCCCCAGCGCTGCTCCCCTGGGGCTGCGAGTCCCAGCGCTGCTGTCCTGCCAGTGGGGGTGGAGGGGTGAAGGAGGATGTGGGGGCAAGATGAGAGGGAGCCAGGGATTGCACTGAGAGGCATAGAGCAATGCAGGGAATCAGGCTGGGGGGACCATGGGGCTGAGGGAAGATGTGAGTGGGGGGGGGGTCTATACTTTTACTTTGCAGAAGCTGCACTTTCCTTTACTCCCTACTTCTTTGCCTCCCTCCCCAACTAGCTATTTGGCTGTATTATCACCCTTCCACCTTTTCTGTGTTACTCCTCCTGCCCCAAACTCCCTCTCATCACCCCTCCCCTTTTTCTGCCACCAAACTCCCTTCCAGACTCTGCCCTCCTCACCTGTCTTGCACCCCACCTTCCACCCAGATCCTAATTTATTTAAATTCAACCGTTCTCCCCAGCTGCAGCACTAGCAAAATGGCGGGGCGTAATTATGTAATTAGTGGTGAGACCATCCTGGGAGAGCGGCACAGCCCAGAGCAGGAGGGTTAAATCTTGGCATGCTACTTTGGAGAGGTTGCTGACCTCTGATTTAATAGTTCCAGTGCTGCTTAGTTAAACAAATATACTCCCAAATTTCCCAAATCGTACCTTATTTTAAAAAAAAAAACCTGATCAAGGCAAAGTCACAATAAAATGTAACATATTGCATTATTACTCATTCAGAATCAAGATAATATTCAAAGAACCTGATGAAAGATTGAGGCTTGCTGGCTAGGAGGCAGTCTAAGTATGCTAAAAGTAGTGATCAAATTTTCTAATTGACTATCTTTTCTTGTGTGTGCACTTGATGTGAAAGATTTTCCATTACAAGGATAATCTATATTTTACCATAATTCCATAGAAGTCAGTTTTTTTCTACTAACCAATAGCAAGAGCTGCTAACATTAAAAAAGTAGCTTCGGGGCTAGCTGAGTTAGTCTGTACAGGAAAAACTTAAAAAAACAACAAATGGTCTGGTAGACCTTTATAGACTAACAAGACACATGGTATGAGCTTTTGTGGGCACGGTCCACTTCTTCAGATGACCAGAGTGGGCTGTGCCCACGAAAGCTCATGATACCATCTACATGTTTTGTTAGTCTATAAAGTGCTACCAGACCATTTGTTGTTTTTTAAGTTTATTAAAAAAGTAATTTGTTTTAATTTAAAATGTAGATCCTTTACTGGAGCATTAAATAAACTGGTCAAGGATTCTCTAAGAATCTGGGATTTTGAGATCAGATTAATCTCTTTAATAATCTTTTCCCAAATAGTCTAATGCTTGGACACAACCACCACATGTGCAAGTCTTTCCCCTCTCTCTCTGCAACTCCTCCAATAGCAAAATGATGATTGCTCTTAATGAGTCAAATGCCACCTTAGTACAGCAACTAAAAAAGTTTTCTTTGTTCTTCAGATGCTTGGACATGAGCATGTCCATTCAACATAGGTGTGTGTGCCTGCCACATGCACCAGTGCCAGAAGTTTTTTCCCTATACACCACCCATAGGGACTAGGGTCCCAATAACCCCCTGGAGTGGTGCATGTATGCTGTGCTATGTAGGGTACCCCTTGGTCTCTCCTCAGTTTCTTCTTGGTGCCACTGCTTAGAACAGTATGCTCCAGCCTAGACTGCAAGCGCTCCCTTTGCACCCAAGTTCCCCATTAACAAACTGCGAAGTACCTGTGAGCTGTTAATCTTCTACCCCGTGAAGACTCTGCATGGGGGACGGGCATGCCCCGCTCCCCTGCCTTTGAAGTTGGTGCTGCTGGTTGCAGGCCCATGCCAGTTAGCAACCCGCATGCTGACTGTCTGTTTCCTGGGGGAAGGACGCTTTTTGAACAAGTGTCACGTTTGCGGGTCCTTCCGTCCCAGAACTATTAAAGAGCGTAGTATCCGTCTCAAGGTGCTCTTAATGGAGTCTACACTAGTCCTGCAAGATCAACTGTTGGACTCGGTACTAATGCCTTGGTGCACAGCACACTGCTGACATCGACGGCTCAGCACTGTTTGTCGCCTATGGCCCTGTCTAAGCCTGTTAGGAAGCCGGGCAGAGACAAGTCCCCTTGCAAAGATAAGGTGAAGAAAGGTGACCAGCAAGTGGACAGGCTAGACACCTCAAAAGGCACTGAGCCTAGCATCCAGGTCGCTATCGTTGTGTTGGAGGTTTGTTTCCCCTCCATGCCGGAGGCCTTCCAGGCCGTGCAGGACATAAGCCAGTACCACCCCCGATGCCAACAGGGCTCCGGCACTGGGGTAAACCACTGTTTGTATCCTGATTTCCAGGCACAGTCCAATCCCACTTTTTTCCAGTGTCCAAGAGAAGAGCACTCCAAAGTCCCCATAGGCATGATGCATGATCTTCCACGTCGCTGGAGTCGATGTGCAGACCTGTGCAGACATGCACCCCCTGGCTCCAGAGGTGCTGAGGAGATAGTGACTCTCCCTATTCGCCGCACCACCAATAGAACCCCTCTCCACATACGCCGGCACCTAGCCTGTCCAGTCATAAAAGCTCATCCTGCTTCTGGTCCCTGTCCCAGCACTGGTATGCTGCCCTCGATCTCAAGGATGCCTACTTCCGTATCACCGTCTTTGAGGGCTACAGGTGCTTCCTGAGATTTGTAGGTGGAAGGAATCACTTCCAATTTGTGGTCCTGCCCTTTGGACTGTTGATGGCCCCCAGGTTTTTTACCAAATGCGTGTCAGTGGTGGTGGTATACCTGAGGTGTCAAGGTGTTCAAGTGTACCCTTACTTGGACAACCATACTTAGTCGTCAAAGGCCCATCAAGGCAAAAAGTCCAGCACAACATCTATCTCCTCCTAGACACATGCCATCAGATAGGCCTGCTAATAAAAAAGAAAAATCCCTCTTGGTGCCTACCCAGAGGACAA